ATTCAGTGAGTAAGACGACTAGCTTACCAGGAAATCTGGGTTTGTTCAAGCAGATCGGGTGATAACCGATGTCTCTAAAATATTCCAAACGGTGGCTCGGTGAATAAGAATTTGGCTGCATTGCCGAAAAAGTTCTGGCGATATTTTGGCGTCGTTCCTCCTCCTAGCCAGTGGTGCAGGGTGGAGGTCCTGGCAAGGGACATCGTATAGTCGCTCGGATGGTCGAAAAACCGAGGTTACATGAACAGTTGGAATTTGATATAAGAGTAAGAGGAGAGAGAGAGAGAGAGAGGGGGGGGGGTAAAATAAGATTAACATTTCTAGGTGGAATGCGACACTTGGAACGCTCAGATTTGCCAACCCTGGTTTCACGGAATGTCTTTGAGAACAAACAGAGGTGGGGGAGGGGGAGTGGTCCATTCAGTTACCTGAATGATGAGGAGATTGCCAGATGGGGTCCCCATTGTGTCTATAAAGATTGAAACCAATGCAATGTTGAGCAAAAAGCAAGAGCCTGTGTTGTTACAGCCATTTAACATTGAAGTAAATGGGCAAATAATTGCTAGTCTGAGTCCATGTGTACAGAAGCCCTCATGACAACCGTCATGGCAATGCTTACCCTAACCTACAATCTCATCAACAATCACGTGTCCTAACCTTATTTACATCTCAACGACCTTGATAAACCATGAACTGGCCTTAACAAATAGATTTAGCCAAGCAATACGAGGATCGTGATCAACTGTGGTAAATATAAGATTATATAGAGAGTTATTGTATATAGTACTAATCTATAAATATCATTAACACTACCATACTAAACCTCACTCTACAAATCCCATTATCAACACAGAGAACTTTTTACTTTGAGAACAGATCTCTACTCTGAATGACCGCCATTTTAAAAAAAATAGTATACTATTTTGTAATGTTGCTCTAATCCGTGTCATATTTTTCACACAAAATGACTCATTCATATAAAGCGGCCATTGTGAACCTCCCCAACCGGCCTACAGTTAGCATCTCCCATAAAATATACAATAATAATCTGTCCTTGTAGGACTACTGGTTAACATTGATATATAAAAGACTGGTTGGTAGTCCCGTCTTCGATGTAACTCAAACTAAAGACCCTAATGTTCGAGTCTACGCCCATTGTACAAATGTTAGCAGGTATGTTTATATTTATGTACATAGACGGCCACGGTCAAATTAAAAGACAACATTGGTGTCAGTCATTATCACATATGCCATAGAACTGGTTAATACGTTCCAAATATAATTCTAACACAGAGATTATTGCTACGATAGAGTGCAATGAAGATTTCAAGAAACGGAAGTGACGAAAGTACTGAATTATGACGAAACATTGAGCAGACCTTACCATTTAGCACTAACCACGGTATATTATATTATATATTACAGTAGTATAGGTTATAAGCCAGGCAGTATAACGGTATATTATATTATATATTACAGTAGTATAGGTTATAAACCAGGCAGTATAACGGTATATTTTTATAAACCAGGGAGTGTAATGGTATATTATATATTACTGTAATATAGGTTATAAACCAAGCAGTATAATGGTATATTTTTATAAACCAGGCAGTATAACGGTATATTATATATTACAGTAGTATAGGTGGCAGTATAACGGTATATTTTTATAAACCAGGCAGTATAATGGTATATTATATATTACAGTAGTATAGGTTATAAACCAGGCAGTATAACGGTATATATAATGAATATTGGAAGTGTAACAGTATCTGTTGATATACCATTTAGTTCAAGTAAAACACAACAAAGATATATTTTATCACCTGGAGATGATAATGGTTTAACCTCACAGTAAGTTCATTAATTTGAATAATTAGAAAATTATATATTGATTTCAATAAACCCCCAACTCCAGTGCGAGAAAGAAAAATCCAGCAAAATTACAAAAAACAAAATGCATCTATAACAGGTTTCACAGGGACCCATTTCCCATTTTAACTTTCAACGATTTAAGTTCCTGTGCCAATTAAAGGTGTCAATAGAAATCCAGAAATATTAGTTAAATTAATACATACTTGTTTAGAAATTCCTATAATTTGTTTAAAAATTGAATTGAATATAAATCACCTTAAATACACTCATATTACATTAATATGCACTTTTAGACCAATTTAGTATTTTTAGGATTCCAAAGAATAGAGTTATACCTTTAAACAAAATTAACCTCTTATTTTTTTTTAAAATGCTTGATATGTTACTAAACTTCTCTTATATAATTTCAGATTTGTAAAACTGAATGGAAATGTTCTGATGTTACCAAATGATAATTCGTTACCTCCCTTGATACCTGTTTTCAGCAACGATACCCTTAAGCTTAAAGCGTATAATATGGGATTCGTTGTTATACCAGATGCCATGAAAGCAGAGTGTATGCAGACATGAAAATCTTTTGCTGTAATAAAATGTTAAAACAGTGCTTGTCTGAACACTAAACACAAAACCGCTAAATATCCCTGTACTCCGTCCGGTATATAAAAATGAAGGCAGATTGGACCATTATGGAGATGCCCGATTCACAGTCCAGAACGTCCCGAATTGACAGAATTGCAATTGGGTAACCCGGTATTCAGTCCCGTCACAGTTTTGTTAGTCCCGACTACGGAGGTGTTGTGCGTAGAATCGTGACGTAATTAAACACAACAAATATGTTGATTGAGATATTTACTTATCCAGTCGACGCATGCGTTGTAGTCCGAGATTATTTATGTGATTTGTTATTTTGATAATGAAAAAATATGAAATATTTTTGGGTATTGGTTGGTTGAAAGAGTGGGGGTGGGGGTAGATGGCCGAATGGTTAGTACGTGCGCGCTGTATCATATGGTCTGTCATGGAGTCAACTGGCGGGGTTTCGATTCCCCAGTTGTAAGTGGGAAGCAGTAGGGTCGCTTGTCCATCCGCGTGGGTTTTCTCCGGGTCCTCCGGTTTCCACCCACTGCTAAAGACACTTAAGGGCAAACGCATTATTGAAATAAAATTGAACCATATGTTAGTCCCGAAATGACCTAGTTTGTGTCGAGTGGACGTCACCCCCCCCCTCTTTCTCTCCGTCCCTCTCTCTCTCTCTCTTTTTAATTTTATTTCATACCCGTGTCCAAAGTAAGTTCGATATTTTATCCTTCTTCAATGTCTAACAAAAATGTGAGTACATACGCACAAACATTAACCGAAATAACCCATACATATCTCAGAACTATTTAGACCCTGGGGAATAACAGCTTGCAGTATCCATTGCATGTAGCAAATAATGAACTGTAGATTGTACTTGTTCTTTATAGGCGTATCCTGGTAAACATGGCCTAAGATTAGACTGTCACGGATTATTTCTAATAAAAATAATGTAACTTCAAAACAATTTGAGCGTGTTTAACTGCTGTGAATATCAGACAAAAGATTGAAGTATGTAATGATATGTGACGATGGTACCATCTGGAACCATTCATGCTACTAACCTATATTACCAGATGCATGTTAATAGTGGGAACGGGTTCTTTCCTTATCTCCGATTATCTATCGTCCTTACTCGAGGATACCTTGATAATCCGTTGGAAATAATGCGCCTCGGGAAGATTGTATAGACTAGGGGCGTCTTCCGATAATGCGCAACTGGAAACCCTTGTCCCACAGCAATACTATATATACGACGAGGCTTTGTCGTTAGGGGGTGACCGTGGTACTGGAGCGTCTACAAACTAGAGGAAAATAATACTTTTAAGAACAACTGACGTTTATTTCGGGTGCTGGTATATACAGTGTGAGTGAGTCATATAATAATATTAAAGGCATAATAATGAATAAAGAAAATACAAAATACATATTACTATAACAATAAGAAATATAAAATGTCGACTGATATATCATTATATATATATATGCTTTATGTAATAAAGCTAACGTACTTTATGTAATAAAGTGAACGTTAAGGATACCATACGTAGCGCATGTGCATGCAATGTCCTTTATATGGAGCATGCATGCGTGCGTGTAATATTTGCAGAATATTTACATTATTAATTCTAGATGTAATCTATATAATCCATTAGAGCTGGGTGAGATGTAGAGTTCTACTTGGAACATTGTACATCATTTATATGTCACCCAATACGCTCGTGGATATTATTAACGAAACAAAGATTTCATTATTTACGCATACACTAATTATGTGGTCTTCAAAATGTACCAACATTGTATGCTCAATATTAGAAGCTATTCTATTTGCTCCTCAATATAAAGTAATATACATAAAATATAAGACAATTAAAATGTTACAATAAGACAATTAAAATATCAAAATAGACATAGTGTAGTTTAGACTTACCTAGAGGAAAATAATACTTTTAAGAACAACTGACGTTTATTTCGGGTGCTGGTATATACAGTGTGAGTGAGTAAAGAGAGTCGGGACTCACTCCCATGCAACCCTTATCATCAGTGTTAAGTAACTTTTAATCCTCTTAGTTTCTAAACTTGGTCTGAACATAACATTGCAGGAAACCGTAATTAATGTTTCGACTCTAACTATATAAAAGTTGAATAAGAGATCTTGAAAACCATTAAATATTTAAATAATTATAATGTGAATGAACTGTGCAGGAAAAGGGATTTTCGGGGAGATGTGATAAGACATGTATGACTAAAGATCTGAAAGTAATATCTGTATACTATAACAACAGCATGCATGCAAATACTATCAATTTGTATGACACATTTCTAGTATCAGTCGGATGACATTTCTGAAAATTAGAAGTTAAAATAGCCTGTCTATTGAAGTCATCTGTTGACATCTTGGTTATTTATTAAAAAGTGATTTTCAGGCCTTGAAAAGACAACGTGCTTTATCAAATCATAAGTTAACCTAATCATTAATATGACCTTGAAGAAGACTATATCAGTTAAAAATCTTTCAAGAATTCTAACTCAAACAAGTTTATGTACAACAAAAGGTTTATGAGCGTAATATTGTAAGAACAGGTATTATGTCTCGACATTTATTGGTGTTTATTTTGTTGGTTTTCACCTATAATGTTTCATGTATCACCATTGATTTGGAATCAGCCCAAGCAGTGAGAAATGTTAGTTCAAAGTTTGTTGGGGTAACTCTAGATGCTGGTCTTATTGCGAAAAGATGGAAAACTTTTAATTTTACGTAAGTATTCTTTTTAAAATGAATTTTGGCCCACATTGGTTGTTTATATCTACCGCTATACCCACGACCCCTAATTTGATATAGATGTTTAGAGGGAGGCAATTTCCACTAAAGGGAGCCACAGTGCCCAAGTAAGACGCTGGCTGGTTAACCGGGAGGCCCGTGTTCGATCCCTGTATTGGCCGAGAAAGTTAATCAGAAAGTAAAGTCAGTGGTGCAGGGCCTGGCAAGACACAGCGCATAGTCGTCGTTCGGCTGGGACGAAACACCGAGGTCCCGTATACACATTGGCGTGCACGCCACTGTCCGTGCAAAATTCCCCCATTTGCCCATCTTCATTAGCCCAGTCGGAGCAAGTCGTTAAACCCAATTTCATTTCATTTCTGGGACAAATTACAGAAGGGTTGTCCAAAGATTGGCCGAGGCAAATTACAGAAAAAACAGCTAAGGATTGCCCGGAACAAATGACAGAAAAACGACCGAGGGTTCCCCGGGACAGTACAGCGCGTGTTGACGCTTACGGCTAGCCCCCGGGTCTATTCACTTGATCTGATATGAACGTTTGTTGTTTGTCATATCTGTATATTGTGTCTTGTCCGTATATTTGTCTTGTATAGTATATTTATTTGTGTGTGGTGCAGTCCCCCTGCACTTACTAATAATGAACATGCTTTTTCCTTAGATCTCAGAAAGTGCTGACGTTAGCCAAAGGAATGTCTCCATCTTATCTCCGTATTGGTGGCACAGCGGGCGATCGGATGATATTTAACATGACCCACGATCAGAGAAATTCACCGAATCACCGACATTATGCGATGAAAGGTAGGCTGAATATGTGTTGTGTATCTCTATTTCTGTTTTAAAAGCTATAGTCTTCTGCTAACGCTACTCACCTTGTTGGTCTTGGGCCGACGCTATTAGAGAGAGAGAGAGAGAGAGAGGGGGTAACGTCCACTTGACACAGACTAGGTCATTTCGGGACTAACATATAGTTCAAATTTATTTCAATAATTCGCTTGCGCGTAGGGGTCTTTTGCAGTGGGAGGAAACCGCAGGACCCGGAGAAAACCCACAATGTTGGACAGGTGACCCTACTCCTTGTCACGCCAGTCGACTCAATTACAGATCTTATAATACAACGTGCACGTGCTAACCATTCGGCCATCTAACCCGAGAGAGAGAGAGAGAGGGGAGAGCTAGAGAGATAGGGGCCTTTAGTGGTGCGAGGAAAAACGAAGGACCCGGGTAAAACCCACGAGTTTGGAGATTCCACCTTACCCCTTTATGGTTATTGGTTACTAGGTCATTCCGGGACTAACACATGGTTTACAGTTTTATATTAATAATTCGCTTTAGCCTAGGGATCTTTAGCTGTGGTAGGAAAACCGGAGGTCAGGGAGAATAACCACAAGATTGGAGATTCGACCTTACGTCTTTATGATTATTGGTTATATCTGATTCCTAATCCAACAGCAGTCGTTTCGGAGTATTGAGATCATTTGCTTACTTATATGTGACAATCTGATTAAAACACAGATTCTATTTCGTTTCGTTTTTTATAGTTCAAAATTTCCTTTTACTTGTCTTTACTACACAAGGATCTGGAAGAGTTGTTATATAACCCGCATCCTGGATGATGTTAGGGATTAGCTAATAAAACGACCTTTTACGGCGACTTTTTGGCGTGAGGTGCACGGAACTATAGTGTAACCCACTAGAAACGTCAACGCTGATTGGTTAATTAAATGACTGGCGTCATAGGGTTATAAGCCGCTCGTATGAACCATAACGCGACCTTCCACTACAACCGGTCAGATCTTCATGTAGTGTAGGCCATCGAAAGTGTAAAATAATGAAACGAAATATAGATCTGTATTGTAATCAGATTGTATATGTGAGGTCTGTTGCTTCGTTCCAGGCATCGAATATCAGTTTTCATTTTGATTTCAGTTGCTGATTGGGATAACTTGAATCATTTGGTTATGAATGCTGGATTGGATCTGATTTTTAATTTCAACGTATTGCTACGTAAAAATGGTAACTGGGATCCAACCAATGCTAAAGAACTGTTAGAATATACCGTAAAACAGGGTTATAAACCAGCTGGTTACGAATTAGGAAATGGTAATCATTCTTATTTTCTGTTTAGCCAAATATTGGTCCACTAGATCATCGGATGGCCGAGATATTAAATAGATTAGAATATCCCCGCCATTCAAATTCAATAATATAACGTTAATTTAAGGCTAAATCTATTTTCGTCAAGGTCGCTGAGATGTAGGACAAATGGTTGGCGAGATTGTACGTTAGGGTTAAGGTAAGCATTGGGGCTAGGTCTAGGGTTAGGATTAGAGTTGGGATTAGTGCAAGCCCGGTTAACATCTCGTGCCCTTTGGCCAAACTTGAAGTGGGCCTTATCAAATAGATGTATCCGTTAATTTGATCGAGAATTTGTTTGCTATCGTTGTAATGGTACTAGACAATCGAGAACCTCACCTAATAAGGATATTCAATATAAATATTTTAAATTTCAGAACCAAATTATTTTCGCGGTGCCGTATCAGAAAAACAGTTGGCGAAAGATTTTGCTGCATTAAAAAATATCGTATCGTCTAGTGGTGTACCGCCATTTTTAACAATTGGACCGGATGTTGGTGGCATGTTACCTGGTAGCAAGGCACCGACCTTCCTTAAAAAGTAGTTGTTTTATATCACTCGGCAATCCTCGGCAGATTCCGGTACTGTACATCTAGCTTCGGCTGTATGATGGTAAATGATAGGTACCTACACCTATACAATTGCGCTGCGACACCGGTTTACTTATTAAAATTTGTATGATAAAACATTCTTCATAATCGTGGTCATGGTCGACGCCGTTGGTAGTTCGTTATACAGCCGAGGCTCGATGTAGGGCACTGGAGTCTGCTGAAGTTTGCCGAGTGTGTTTTAAATCTGCCTTTAAATTTCATAAAATGTGTCATTTAATTTTATGTTAGTCATTCAGCTAATTTGAAATGAAATGGGATTTATTGACCTACTTTTCTGCATTGTCCGAGCTAATGAAGATGGGCATACGACTAGTTCCTTTTAGAACGATCTCTGATCGGACGATGTCCACTGACCTTTCCTATCCGTCCCTATATAGCTGCAATATGAAAATACCGCTCTTCCCCATCTCTGTTCTAAGGCTATTGTGAATTCCTTACCTTCTATTTGTGACCTTGATTATTCTTTGTTCGCCAACAGGAATCATTTGACACAAATTTATAACAATTCAACACTCATTTGGGATTAAATAACGTACACGAAATAATTAGGAACAGATCAGCCATTACGAGACTCGAACATGCGCAGACCCGATTTGTTTTTAATCCCGATATTGTTTTTATTCTGTAAGGCCTTTGTCCTAATTTTTCTAGCTGTTTAAATTATAGAAGTTATTTGTATTGTTATTATATCTCGAGCTTAATTTCTGTTTCATGCAACTTATTACTGTAAACTCAACAGGGGCTAGTCTCGGTCACCCAGAACCTCCTAGTCTTCAACATACGGAGGGTCTGGGAAAGTTGTCAATATTTGACGTAAAGTCCATTGCCCATGCGTAACCGGGAGTTTTTTTTTTTTAATGTGGTTGATTATCCAGTCTCTTTAGCCAAGTCAAGCAAGAGTTGCGCCCCCTCCCACACTAAATCCCATAATTCTTGCATTAATAATATAAAAAACATGAATCGTGACGACGAATTATGATTAATTTTTAAAGCATAGATATGGCCCATGAAGAGTTAGATATTGAACTCGCATGCAATAACATGGATGTTTTGAAATAACATTCTCAAATTAATTTCTTGGGCGTAAACATCTTGTTTAAAAGGAGTTACCTCCTTTAGACGTTCTTTATGACAATGTAATAGACCGGATTATCTAGCCAATTTTTCTCAAATGTTGACAACCCATCCAGACTAATATTCGTAGAATATTTTTCTTGATGATAGAGACTAAACAGGGGCCCACTTCCACTCGTGGAAAAGTCTACTTTTGATTTCTAATCTATAGTCTGCATCAAAGTTGTACACATACGCTTACGCCCTCTGGTGTAATAATGTTGATAATTCATTAGATTTTTCTGAACATTTTTATTTCAAGATTTTAACTTCAAGACTTTTTGAAACGTAGAAAATATTTTAATAAAAGTTCAAATTCCAGATTTTTTTTAGATACTTTCAGAAACCAATGAATTGATTTCTTTGTCGTGTAAAATTAAGAAATTATTTTTTAATTTTTATATTTAATGATATATAAAAGTTACCGACAAAACGCCGAAAATGAAACATAAAATCAATTTTTTATTTAAAATGTTGATTTTGTGCATAAAATGTTGATTTTGTGCATAAAATGTTGACATAAGAATGTAGAAACAAGAATCATTAGTTTAGAATGTTGCGTTCATGTCTAAAATATTCAAACTGGAATGTAGAAACAAGAATCATGAATATTGTCCCATTTGGTCTTCCATAAAAATTACTGTCGTACTGTATTTAATATTTGTTGCATGTATTATTAAAGTTTTTTAGAGGCTGGTGGAGGTGATGTAGTTGACGTTGTTACAGTGCACCAGTAAGTAAGATCATCTAACATCTTTAATTTAATCACTCTAGAGATAAGATTTAAAACCAAATACCACCGTAATATTGAGGAGAACGCTAGATCGAAGACGGTCTAGCATAAATGACGTCATATTTCATACTATCAGTATTGTACTTGAAAACAACAAGAGAATAAAAATCTTTTAGGGGCATTTAGTTACTTGATAAAGCAAAAAACTGTAACACATACTAATGGAAAACGGCTACTTTTAGGCTACGTTAACTTGATTGAGAAAATACTCGAAACGTCGCCCCCCCCCCCCCCCGCCACCACAAAAAAAAATAATAGCTGTTTTCCTTAAGTATGTATTATAGTTTGTAACAAGAGATAAGTTGGATATTCAAAGCTCTGATTAAAATACAGTAATTGTCTTCCAAGATAATCGTTGTGTTTATTTTGAATAAATCTGCCTATTGCAGGTCTTTTTTCAGCCTGAAATGTTATAAAAATTATTAACTATACATTAATTAACTGATCCAGGCCATAATTAACTCTCGATGGCATCGGATACCCGAGAATTTAACTAGATTAGAACCATTCAGCAATATTTTGATTTAATTTAAAAATGGAGGAGCGAGACATAGCTTCGAACAACCAGTACGGTGGTTACAATGATGGCACACGCTTTGTCAAACCTTCAAAGGTTAATATCTTCCATCGCAATAGAGTAATTGGAATGAAATTTTTAAATTATTAATTTTACATTATCTATTTTCGAACTAATATAGCAAGTATCTTTAAGAGTTCGAAGTTCAAAATATTTAAATTTATCCCTTTTCGTCCTTTTAATTTTCAGGTATTATTCGACTGGTCGGAATGTGACGCTAAAAGATTTTACCGACAGAAAAGTTTTAGATACATTTATACCGGAAGTTGACTTGTTTGTCAAAACTTGTAACGAGAAGGCTCCTAATAAACAATGCTGGTTGGGTGAAACGTCATCGTTTAGTCATGGAGGGGCTCCACATATATCAGATAGATATGTCGCGGGATTCTTGTAAGTTGTTTTCTTTTGTTACTAATCTGATTAAAACATAGATCGTATTTCGTTTCGTTTTTTTATAGTTCAAAATTTCGTTTTACTTGTCTTTAGTACACTAGGATCTGGAAGAGTTGTTATATAACAGGGGTTCTGGATGATGTGAGGGATTAGCCAATGAAGCGATCTGTTACGGCGAGTTTTTGGCGTGAGGTGCACGGAATTGTGGGTAACCCACTAGAAACAACAACGCTGATTGGTTAATCAAATGTTTGACGTCATAGGTTCAAACGCCGCTCGCATAACTTCTGACGCGACCTTCCACTACATCTAGTCAGATCTTCATGTAGTGTAGGCCATCGAACGTATTAGAAAGAACGAAACGAAATATAAATCTGTATTTTAAGCAGATTGTTGTGTTACATGAATATTGGAAATGATTGAAAATCATCAGGATTCTTACTCACATACATCAAGAACACCTACCTAATTATCTGACAAAACAGTCAATGTATAGATTGATAATAAGAATTGTTAACAGACGGACTAACGATCCGATGGACTTGTGATTTTCAAAAAACGGCAATTAATAATATCTTTAAATCGCATTTAAAATATACGCCTTCTCGCATTATCAGTACATGGCATTTTTTCGTTTCATTGTGACTATTCCGATGGTTCTAAGTTTTACAGCTGAAAACAAAATACGCGGTGAATAAAGGAATCCCGATCATCAAGTCGTATTATCCCTACTTTTTTGGCCTTCGCCATTCGCCGTTTTAGGAGAATCACAGCCACCATACGACCACACTAAACTAACAAGTAGTACAATAGAGTAGATGTATTTAAGATGGCGAATGTTGAGGTACCATGTCTCCGACTGACCTAATAAAACAAGTACGGCCTACTATGAACCGGGAACAAGGCAATATGGAATATCATAAATCGACTGTACCAACAATGGCGCAGTCTATGACTTTCGTGAAGCGGGTCACGCCAAGATCAAGAACAACAAAAAGATTATGAAGTGTTTGGAACAAGTTCCTGCTTCAGAAATGTTTTGAAACGTTTACTAATATGTTTCTTCACAGTTATTATTTTATTTTTATTTTTTATACCCCAGGTGGTTAGATAAGCTTGGATTATCAGCTTTACGTGGATTACAGGGTGTTTTACGACAACAGTTTTATGGCGGTAATTATGCCTTACTAGACACAAACCTCAATCCTAATCCCGTGAGTTGATCAATTAAATACTTCGTATTCCATATCAAATATTATTATGAACGATTACAAACTATTCAACAAGATAGATGTCCTGGTATTGGGAAGCCGCAGTGATTCAGTGAGTAAGACGACTAGCTTACCAGGAAATCTGGGTTTGTTCAAGCAGGTCGGGTGATAACCGTTGTCTCTAAAATATTCCAAACGGTGGCTCGGTGAATAAGAATTTGGCTGCATTGCCGAAAAAGTTCTGGCGATATTTTGGCGTCGTTCCTCCTCCTAGCCAGTGGTGCAGGGTGGAGGTCCTGGCAAGGGACATCGTATAGTCGCTCGGATGGTCGAAAAACCGAGGTAACATGAACAGTTGGAATTTGATATAAGAGTAAGAGGAGAGAGAGAGAGAGGGGGGTAAAATAAGATTAACATTTCTAGGTGGAATGCGACACTTGGAACGCTCAGATTTGGCAACCCTGGTTTCACGGAATGTCTTTGAGAACAAACAGGGGTGGGGAGGTGGAGTGGTCCATTCAGTTACCTGAATGATGAGGAGATTGCCAGATGGGGTCCCCATTGTGTCTATAAAGATTGAAACCAATGCAATGTTGAGCAAAAAGCAAGAGCCTGTGTTGTTACAGCCATTTAACATTGAAGTAAATGGGCAAATAATTGCTAGTCTGAGTCCATGTGTACAGAAGCCTTCATGACAACCGTCATGGCAATGCTTACCCTAACCTACAATCTCATCAACAATCACGTGTCCTAACCTTATTTACATCTCAACGACCTTGATAAAACATGAACTGGCCTTAACAAATAGATTTAGCCAAGCAATACGAGGATAGTGATCAACTGTGGTAAATATAAGATTATATAGAGAGTTATATATATATATTGTATATCATCTGTTATAGTACTAATCTATAAATATCATTAACACTACCATACTAAACCTCACTCTACAAATCTCATTATCAACACATCTCAACAGATCTCTTCTCTAAATGACCGCCATTTTAAAAAAAATAGTATACTATTTTGTAATGTTGCTCTAATCCGTGTCATATTTTTCACACAAAATGACTCATTCATATAAAGCGGCCATTGTGAACCTCCCCAACCGGCCTACAGTTAGCATCTCCGATAAAATATACAATAATAATCTGTCCTTGTAGGACTACTGGTTAACATTGATATATAAAAGACTGGTTGGTAGTCCCGTTTTCGATGTAACTCAAACTACAGACCATAATGTTCGAGTCTACGCTCATTGTACAAATGTTAGCAGGTATGTTTATATTTATGTACATGGATGACAACAGTCATTGGTGTTACAGTCATTATCACATATGCCATAGAACTGGTTAATACGTTCCAAATATAATTCTAACACAGAGATTATTGCTACGATAGAGTGTAATGAAGATTTCAAGAAACGGAAGTGACGAAAGTACTGAATTATGACGAAACATTGAGCAGACCTTACCATTTAGCACTAACCACGGTATATTATATTATATATTACAGTAGTATAGGTTATAAACCAGGCAGTATAACGGTATACTTTTATAAACCAGGGAGTGTAATGGTATATTATATATTACAGTAGTATAGGTTATAAACCAGGCAGTATAACGGTATATATAATGAATATTGGAAGTGTAACAGTATCTGTTGATATACCATTTAGTTCAAGTAAAACACAACAAAGATATATTTTATCACCTGGAGATGATAATGGTTTAACCTCACAGTAAGTTCATTAATTTGAATAATTAGAAAATTATATATTGATATCAATAAACCCCCAACTCCAGTGCGAGAAAAAAAAAATCCAGCAAAATTACAAAAAACAAAATGCATCTATAACAGGTTTCACAGGGACCCATTTCCCATTTTAACTTTCAACGATTTAAGTTCCTGTGCCAATTAAAGGTGTCAATAGAAATCCAGAAATATTAGTTAAATTAATACATACTTGTTTAGAAATTCCTATAATTTGTTTAAAAATTGAATTGAATATAAATCACCTTTAATACACTCATATTACATTAATATGCACTTTTAGACCCATTTAGTATTTTTAGGATTCCAAAGAATAGAGTTATACCTTTAAACAAAATTAACCTCTTATTTTTTTTAAAAATGCTTGATATGTTACTAAACTTCTCTTATATAATTTCAGATTTGTAAAACTGAATGGAAATGTTCTGATGTTACCAAATGATAATTCGTTACCTCCCTTGATACCTGTTTTCAGCAACGATACCCTTCAGCTTAAAGCGTATAATATGGGATTCGTTGTTATACCAGATGCCATGAAAGCAGAGTGTATGCAGACATGAAAATCTTTTGCTGTAATAAAATGTAAAAACAGTGCTTGTCTGAACACTATACACAAAACCGCTAAATATCCCTGTACTCCGTCCGGTATATAAAAATGAAGGCAGATTGGACCATTATGGAGATGCCCGATTCACAGTCCAGAACGTTCCGAATTGACAGAATTGCAATTGGGTAACCCGGTATTCAGTCCCGTCACAGTTTTGTTAGTCCCGACTACGGAGGTGTTATGCGTAGAATCGTGACGTAATTAAACACAACAAATATGTTGATTGAGATATTTACTTATCCAGTCGACGCATGCGTTGTAGTCCGAGATACCCCTTTTCACTCGATTGTCACCGATTATTTATGTGATTTGTTATTTTGATAATGAAAAAATATGAAAGATTTTTGGGTATTGGTTGGTTGAAAGAGTGGGGGTGGGGGGTAGATGGCCGAATGGTTAGTACGTGCGCGCTGTATCATATGGTCGGTCATGGAGTCAACTGGCGGGGTTTCGATTCCCCAGTTGTAAGTGGGAAGCAGTAGGGTCGCTTGTCCAACCGCGTGGGTTTTCTCCGGGTCCTCCGGTTTCCACCCACTGCTAAAGACACCTAAGGGCAAACGCATTATTGAAATAAAATTGAACCATATGTTAGTCCCGAAATGACCTAGTTTGTGTCGAGTGGACTTCACCCCCCCCCTCTTTCTCTCCCTCCCTCTCTCTCTCTCTCTCTCTTTTTAATTTTATTTCATACCCGTGTCCAAAGAAAGTTCGATATTTTATCCTTCTTCAATGTCTAACAAAAATGTGAGTACAAACGCACAAACATTAACCGAAATAACCCATACATATCTCAGAACTATTTAGACCCTGGGGAATAACTTCAAAAAACAGCTTGCAGTATCCATTACATGTAGCAAATAATGAACTGTAGATTGTACTTGTTCTTTATAGGCGTATCCTGGTAAACATTGCCTAAGATTAGACTGTCACGGATTATTTCTAATAAAAATAATGTAACTTCAAAGCAAGGTGAGCGTGTTTAACTGCTGTGAATATCAGACAAAAGATTGAAGTATGTAATGATATGTGACGATGGTACCATCTGGAACCATTCATGCTACTAACCTATATTACCCGATGCATGTTAATAGCATGCATGCAAATACTATCAATTTGTATGACACATTTCTAGTATCAGTCGGATGACATTTCTGAAAATTAGAAGTTAAAATAGCCTGTCTATTGAACGAATCTGTTGACATCTTGGTTATTTATTAAAAAGTGATTTACAGGCCTTGAAAAGACAACGTGTTTTATCAAATCATAAGTTAACCTTATCATTAATGACCTTGAAGAAGACTATATCAGTTAAAAATCTTTCAAGAATTCTCACTCAAACAAGTTTATGTACAACAAAAGGTTTATGAGAGTAATATTGTAAGAACAGGTATTATGTCTCGACATTTATTGGTGTTTATTTTGTTGGTTTTCACCTATAATGTTTCATGTATCACCATTGATTTGGAATCAGCCCAAGCAGTGAGAAATGTTAGTTCAAAGTTTGTTGGGGTAACTCTAGATGCTGGTCTTATTGCGAAAAGATGGAAAACTTTTAATTTTACGTAAGTATTTTTTTTAAAATGAATTTTGGCCCACATTGGTTGTTTATATCTACCTCTATACCCACGGCCCCTAATTTGATATAGATGTTAGAGGGGGGCAATTGCCACTAAAGGGAGCCACAGTGGCCAAGTAAGTAAGACGCTAGTTGGTTAACCGGGAGGTCCCGTGTTCGATCCCTGTATTGGCCGAGAAACTTCATCGGGATTTTCCGGAGTGGTTCCCCCTTGTCAGTGGCGCAGGACCAAGGGCCTGGTAAGACACAGCGCACAGTCGTCGTTCGGCTGGGACGAAACACCGAGGTTCCGTATACACATTGGCTTGCACGAAAAATATCCCTTGGCAGTTGAAATTCGATGTAAGATAACCCATACCGCCACTGTCCCTGCAAAATTCCCCCCATTTGCCCATCTTCATTAGCCCAGTCGGAGCAGGTCGTTAAACCCAATTTCATTTCATTTCTACTGAAGACAATTAGGTCTATTGGGGGTTAAAGGATTGAATGTCAATAATACGTTCGTGGATATTGAGCTTACCCACAAGGTTAAGCAGCCAATGCTGTTGAAGATTTGGGATGGAAACCACGGCTTACGGCTAGCCCCCGGGTTTATTCACTTGATCTGATATGAACGTTTGTTGTTTGTGATATCTGTATATTGTGTCATGTCCGTATATTTGTCTTGTGTAGTATATTTATTTGTGTGTGGTGCAGCCCCCTGCACTTACTAATAATGCACATGCTTTTTGCCTTAGATCTCAGAAAGTGCTGACGTTAGCCAAAGGAATTTCTCCATCTTATCTCCGTATTGGTGGCACAGCGGGCGATTACATGATATTTAACAAGACCCACCATCAGAGAACTTCACCGAATCACCCCACTTATCCGATGAAAGGTAGGCTGAATATGTGTATCTCTATTTCTATTTTAAATGCTATAGTCTGCTGCTGACGCTACTCACCTTGTTGGTCTTGGGCCGACGCTATTAGAGAAAGAAAGAAAGAGAGAGAGAGAGAGGGGCCTTTACTTGTGCGAGGAAAACCGGAGGACCCGGGTAAAACCCACGAGTTTGGAGATTCCACCTTACCCCTTTATGATTATTGGTTACTAGGTCATTCCGGGACTAACACATGGTTTACAGTTTTATATTAATAATTCGCTTTAGCCTAGGGGTTTTTAGCTGTTGTAGGAAAACCGGAGGTCAGGGAAAACCCCACAAGATTTGAGATTCGACCTTACGTCTTTATGATTATTGGTCCATCTGATTCCTAATCCAACAGCAGTCATTTCGGAGTATTGGGATCATTTGCTGACTTACATGTGATAATATGATTAAAACACAGATCCTATTCGATTTAGTATTTTATAGTTCAAAATGTCCTTTCGTTTCTTTTTTTATAGTTCAAAATTTCCTTTTACTTATCTTTACTACACAAGGATCTGGAAGAGTTGTTATATAACCCGCATTCTGGATGATATTAGGGATTAGCCAATAAAACGACCTGTTACGGCGAGTTTTTGGCGTGAGGTGGACGGAACTATAGTGTAACCCACTAGAAACGTCAACGCTGATTGGTTAATTAAATGTCTGGCGTCATAGGGTCATAAGCCGCTCGTATGACCATAACGCGACCTACCACTACAACGGGTCAGATCTTCATGTAGTGTAGGCCACCAAAAGTATAAAATAACGAAACGAAATATAGATCTGTATTTTAATGTTAATGTATATGTGAGGTCTGTTGCTTCGTTCCAGGCATCGAATATCAGTTTTCATTTTGTTTCAGTTTCTGATTGGGATAATTTGAATCATTTGGTTATGAATGCTGGATGGGATCTGATTTTTAATTTCAACGTATTGCTACGTAAAAATGGTAACTGGGATCCAACCAATGCTAGAGAACTGTTAGAATATACCGTGAAACAGGGTTATAAACCAGCTGGTTACGAATTAGGAAATGGTAATTATTCTTATTTTCTGTTTAGTAATAATTTTAGTCTTGTCATTGTGTAAAAGCTAAATCTGCCGATTACTGGTCCATTTTTCTGGTTTCAAATCTAATATAAATCACTATTTAGATGTTTATTTACATGTCAAGCCAAAATTTGGTCCACTAGACCATCTGATGGCCGAGATATTCAATAGATTAGAATATTCACGCCATTCAATAATATAACGTTAATTTAAGGCTACTAGACCATCGGATGGCCGAGATATTCAATAGATTAGAATATTCACGCCATTCAATAATATAACGTTAATTTAAGGCTACTAGACCATCGGATGGCCGAGATATTCAATAGATTAGAATATTCACGCCATTCAATAATATAACGTTAATTTAAGGCTACTAGACCATCGGATGGCCGAGATATTCAATAGATTAGAATATTCACGCCATTCAATAATATAACGTTAATTTAAGGCTAAATCTATTTGTTAAGGTCAGCTCAATTTTTGTCAAGGTCGTTGAGATGTAAATAAGGTTAGGGCACATGGTTGGCGAGATTGTACTTGAAGTTGGCCTTATCAAAGAGATATAACCGTTAATTTGATCGAGAATTTGTTTGTTATCGTTGTAATGGTACTAGACAATCGAGAAACTCACCTAATAAGGATATTCAATTATATATATTTTAAATTTCAGAACCAAATTATTTTCGAGGTGCCGTATCAGAAAAACAGTTGGCGAAAGATTTTGCTGCATTTAAGAATATCGTATCGTCTAGTGGTGTACCGCCATTTTTAACAATTGGACCGGATGTTGGTGGCATGTTACCTGGTAGCAAGGCACCGACCTTCCTTAAAAAGTAGGTGTTTTATATCACTCGGCAATCCTCGGCAGATTCCGGTACTGTACATCTAGCCTCGGCTGTATGATGGTAAGTGATAGGTCCCTACACCTATACAATTGCGCTGCGACACCGGTTTACTTATTACAAAAACTTGCCGCTTTTAGAAAGGAGTTCTCAAAATTGCGTCGTTCCAAGAGTGTGTAGAATTTTCAGTACAAAGTTGTCCTTTTTTAAAGAAAATCGGATAAACCTGAAAGAAAAGCAGTTTTAACTTTGAAAGCTTTGTATGATAAAACATTCTTCATAGGCGTGGTCATGGCCGACGCCGTTGGTAGTTCTTTATACAGCCGAGGCTCGATGTAAGGCACTGGAGTCTGGTGAGGTTTGCCGAGTGTGTTTTAAATCTGCCTTTAAATTTCATAAAATGTGTCATTTATATTTTATGTTAGTCATTCAGCTAATTTGAAATGAAATGGGATTTATTAACCTACTTTTCTGCATTGTCCGAGCTAATGAAGATGGGCATACGACTAGTTCCTTTTAGAACGATCTCTGATCGGACGATGTCCACTGACCTTTCCTATCCGTCCCTATATAGC